TCTTGAACTTGATTTGAAAGTAATTCGAAGAGCGCTCAACTCTTAGAAGAGTATTGATAATTATAACAAACTGGTTCGAGACTTCAGAGGTAGTTCATCGTTTTATTACGACAGCTCTGTTTCGTATGGTCGAAAATGACCACACTGATCAGGTAATTTCAACGATTGACCGTTAACTTACAATGACTGGCTATAAAAACTGAAATACGGTTGCTAGGAGATATAAAAACAACGCTACTTTTCCATATAAGTCATGTGGCTGGTATGTATAATTTTGGAGATTGTTACTTTATTATGAAGTTTTTAAGGAGGTATCTGTTTCTATGGGGGCATGAACTTGCTAGCTGATTTCGCTTCTTTAGACTGCAAAGTTCTTTTTACATATGATCGTGAATTTTTCAAAAAGACATAAATTACTTTTCTTAGTAATGTTGTTGTACGGTTTGCATTGTTTGATGATTTTCCACGTTGGCTTGAAAGGTTTGTTATTGTCCTTCAAAAATGCCTCACATCAAACGTAATCTACCAAGCAACAATCACAACTGAAACGTCAACAGATTCATACGTGGGACTCGTGACAAACTTTAAAGAACGGTACAGAAACCACACAGCTTCCTTCCGACCCCAAAACAAGAGACACGAAACTGAATTATCTAAAACACATAGGGACACTGAAGGACAATAACAAACCTTTCAAGCTAACCTTTCAAGCAACCGTATTCCAGCTTTTATAGCCAGTCATTGTAAGTTAACGGTCAGTCGTTGAAATTACCTGATCAGTGTGGTCATTTTCGACCGTACGAAACAGAGCTGTCGTAATAAAACGATGAACTACCTCTGAACTCTCGAACCAGCTTGTTATAATTATATGTATATATATATATTTGTTTATTTATTTATTTATTAAAAACTGGATCATTGGATAACGTAATTCAAGACTTTTTATCTAGAAATATGGTAAGCGTACGCGTCAGCTTAAAATTAAAAAGGAGCTAAAAACTTAATAAAATTAATAATTTAATTCAACGTTTTTAATAAAACAATTATTCCACTCGCGCTTGTTGGATATGAGATGATTATGGCCAACTCGGCGCTACGCGCCTCGTTGGCTATCTATCATCTCATATCCAACAAGCGCGAGTGGAATAATTGTTAAAAATTAACAATAGTTAGGACACATTTTTAATCATGTTAGTGTTTTATATCAATATATTATTTTTAATATATATTATATTGAGAATAGTTAGGATAGAATTTGAATCATTTCAATCAGTATTTTATATCAATATATTATTTTTTATTTATCATTATACTATTATTTTGTTTTACAAGCGCTTTGGACAATAGTATTATTAGTGGATTTTAGCGCTATACAAATAACATTGTATTGTATTGTAGTCAAATGAATTTACAAAGTGGAAATTGAATGATGGTAAACCTAAACTTAATTCAGCAGTCAAATGTATCCTCACAGTGTAACAGATAGAAAAACAGACCAACAGACATTACAGGCAGACGGACAGAAAGACACATGGCCAAACAGGACCCGGTTCAGATATGAATAATCTTAAATACGTAGTTCTAGCGTTTATTACCTTCCCCTTCCATTTCAATTGCTGTGGCTTCTGGGTATCGTTTGATCAGTTCAGCACGTCGTTTTCTGTTATTTACCACCTCAGGATCACTCAAAAATACACCATCTTTGCGTAGTTCCACCTTTTGACCAGTTGAGTTTTTTAAAGGTGGTTTCCATCCATCTCCAATATTTTTGACAAGATTCGCCAGATCCCTTTTTAAAGGAACCTTAACGCGTCGCTCCTTGATCCTATTTCCGGTACGTGTTATGAAGGCGTAGGTTATTAACTTTGAACACACGACCACATCACCTAGCTTTGCTTTCTCCTCGTTCAAACTAGCACAAAAACCCACATTAAACACAGCTTTGGGCCTTAAGCTGCGGACTGCTTTCGGGACAACAACCAGGGAACCTCCGGGAGTGCTAGAACCCATGTCGCATTTCATCACTGCAACCTTCACTACCTCGTCGTCACCGATATTTCCAAAGTAAACAGTGCCAAGAGTTGGGGGATTACTCTTCACAAAACCTTCGTTAAGATAGGAAAGACAGCTTAGGAACTCACAGTCCTTCACTGTCAGCAGCAGAACATCGACCGGTTGATATTGGTTTCTGATGTCTTTCCAAGGTTTTGACAAGCTTGGGAGATTTTCAAGTTCTAGCACTTTAACATGTACCTCTGGTGGTTCTCTTTTGCTTATTGTTTGATTCTCACTTTCAACGGTGATAGCTGCTGCCATGTTTTGCAAGTTCCCTGGAATAATTATATAATAAATGAGATTGATATTCAATACCCAGAGAGATCGATATTCAATACCCAGAGAGATTGATATTCAATACCCAGAATGAACACTAATCAGCCTTAGGCTGTCTGGATCCAAATAACTCGACAGCTGATTGCCGGGCTTGCGAACGATCATGCCATTTATCATATAAGGGGAAAAATTACTGAATTGTGATTGGTCAAGACAGAGGGCATTTTTTCTTAATTTTTGTAATTGCCCGGGCAAAATTACTTGAAAATGATTGGCTGAAAATCGCTTAGCAACGGCTGCCAAGGTAAAGAAATTTCTGTTTGTTTTGTAACAAGGGCGTCCCGTTTTGGGCGAGATCAGTAAGAAAACATTTTGCCCCTTATATTATAAACAAGTAATCACATGGTTCCTCGTAAAATTAAGTATTAATATCACTTGTGTTTTCGGAAGTTGCAGAATTGCCCTCGTCGCTGCGCGACTCGGGAAATTTCAGCAACTTCCGAAAACACGCGTGATATTAATCCTTAATTTTACTCGTCCCCATGCGATTATCTATACAAATTTGAACCAATTAGAGTTTTGTTTTGATTTTATGTTCCATTGGTGGTTTTAAAGCTCCTGTTTCATTACATTTAGATAGGGTTACATAACTAACAACAAGAATCCAGCTGAAAAAAGGATATCAACATTGCAAGAAACATTTTAATGGAAAGTTGTGTAATAACTTCGCAAAATGGGAGAGACATTTCCAGATTTTGGGTTGTCGCAGCCACTTTCAATGGACCGTTTTTCGAACTCAAGTAAAATATGTAGAATTCTGTAGAGCTTTACCGTAATGAATGGTACTTTTATATAAACAAACTTCTAGAAATTGAAAAGACAGTTGGCCTCGAAAGGTTGTCCAATGAAAATGAATAAAGTCAAGGTTGCCACCCTGCCTTTTGTTCAGTTGTGGTATGATCGAAGCAAGATTTCCTCAGTTAAAGCTGATTATATGTATGTATGTATGTACGTATTTACGACATTTAGACAGGCCAGCCCAATTCAGCTTGAAGCTGGTTAAAATGGGGGTCTGTACATCCCACCATCCCACCCCAGGGGAGGACATCCATCACACAGTAATCTTGTGTGTGGGAAATTGACCCCAACCCTGCAGGAGACGGGACCTCCATTTATTCGTCCCTATCCGAGAACACTATAATATCTAACCATTTCTTGATGTTATAGGAAGGTAGAAAACTCTTCTCAATTATTTTAAGACCTTGAGTGTTGGTCCGGCCGGGGCTCGAACCCTCGACCTCCCGCACAACAGTCCAGCGCACTATCCATTGGGCTAACTGGGCGGCGGTCGATTTTCTGTAAGCGAGTTTACACTGCCAGGATTAAAACAAAAAGCGGAACTGGTACCGATCACCTTAACATGGAGAAGCCCGCCAGATCTTTCACAAAATAGGAGGTTAAAACACGGTTAGAGTCTTGCGGATTTAGATTGGAAACCATGCACGGGGAGAATATCAAGTAATTTGTATTTGAGTCGACAGCCTACGTGTTACTTATGAAATTCGTCAGTTTGCTTTTGGTGGATGTTTTTCTTGACAGCAGCGGTATTAAAGTTCTTTCTGCTTTACGGATTTCGAAGAAATCAAGATTAACTAAGAATCTTGTGAAAGAACATCATTGGACGAAATCAAGGGAAGTGCATTTGCTCCATGTAATTTTTTTCCTCCAGTTGAAAAAACCTGGTTACCAACATTGTTTAGTCCCAGATATCTTTGAGAGTTCATTCTATCAGTGCGCATGTTAGAATGTTTGGGTGGGAGGTTTAAACTAACGAACTAACGGACGAACGGAAAATGTAGAAAAGGAATTTGAGTGCTTTTCAACAGTCTTAGCGACTTAATTTTCTACAAAAGAGGGTCATTGTGTGGACATTCAATTCCCTTGTGTTCATAATTTGCGCCTCTGGCTTCCTGGCGGGGACAGTCGATTCAGCTTCGATGTTATTGGTAAGCCACAACCTAAACATTTCTGATCTTATTTAGCAAGTATGCAATAAAGAATTCATGCTTATGCTTTAAGTGATCGAGGTATTTGCCAGCTTGGAGTGAAGTATTTTGTTGAGATATTCTTACTTTTAAACATTGCTGGTTACTTTTAGTCATTGATCGATTTAATTCAAATGCAATTTCTTCTTTACCCTGCTTTACACTATCGTGATCAAGGTATTTGCCAGTTAGGAGTGAACCTTTTTGCTGTGCAATTCAAAGCACACGACTGGGGACAGGGCCTCTGATGATTCAGTTTTCCCCTGCTCTACACTTGACTGTGACCAGGGTAGATACTTATTAGTAGTGAAGCCCCGGGCCTTTTTGCTCAGATGAGTCTGTGGGCATTGATTGATCATTTACAGTACATCTAGGTGCAGTGTATCCAATGATTAATTTTTTCCTTTGCTCTACACTATTGTGGTCAGCTAAAGATATATGTCAGGTGGGAGTAAAACTTCTTTTTCTGATGAATCCTTACTGTTAGGCTCAGATTTACAAATCATGTTTCAGTACATGCATATGTATGCATTATGCTCCTAGTGATTCTTTCCCTTGCTCTACACTACTGTGATCAAGGCATAGGCCAGTAAGTGAGTGAAGCATTTTTCTGATGAATCCTTACTGTTAGGCTCAGATTTACAAACCATGTTTCAGTACATGCATATGTATGCATTATGCTCCTAGTGATTCTTTCCCTTGCTCTACACTACTGTGATCAAGGCATAGGCCAGTAAGTGAGTGAAACATTTTGCTGAGAAATCCTTACTGTTAAGCATTGAGTGATTATTTACAGTACATGTTGGTGAAGTGCTTCTAGTGATTAATTTTTCCCCTTACTCTATACAACTTTGATAAATGAAGCTTTTTTTTTCTGAGGTATCCTTGCTGCTGGGCTCAGATTGATCATTTTCCAGTACAGGCTTGTGCCATGCTTCTACTGTGATCAATGTTTTCCCTTGCTTTACACTACTGTTATCGTGTTGTATGCTAGTTAGGAGTATGGCTTTCTGCTAAGAAATCATCAGCATTGATTAATGATTCTATAGTACACGTAGGTTCCATGCTTCTAATGAAAAGTTTTTTTTCTTGGGCTAACTACCCTGATCAAGGTATATGCCAGTTAGGAGTGAAGCTTTTAGCTGAGGAATCGACACTGATTGATCATTTTACATAAAATGTAGGTGAAAATATCCTAACAATTAATTTTTGCCATGCTCAACAATACTGTGATGTAGGTATTTACCAGTTAAGAGTCAAGTTTTTTGTGACGAGAAATCCCTACTTAAGCAGTAGGTGATCATTGTAAACAGCAAATGAAGGTGCAATGCTTCTTATGGTTGTATTTGTCCATTAAGCCATGGAGATGAAGATATAATGCTCAAGTTAGCAGTTTTAGCTAAGGAATCTCTATATGATTGATTGGTGTAGGTGCACTGCATCTACTGGTTGTTTTTCCCTTGTCCCACACTACTGTGATGAAGGAATAATATGCCAATAAGGAGGGAAGCTTTGTAGCTGAGGAATCCTTACTTAGTTCTTGTTAACCGAGCAGGAAGTCTGTATGGGAGAATCTTGACAGAGGTCGCCAGTATGGACCAAATGCAGTGAGGTCTGTACCAGTGACCGAGGTCAAGATTCTCCCATACAGACCGACCCAGCTCGGTTAATAAGATGTTTATTATATGGCTGTGTCTTGTATGCCAATTTTTTATATTCTTTGTACCTTTTTTTCTAGAGCGGTCTAGATGTTGGTCTAGATGGGAAAATCTAGACCGCTTTCAATATTGATTTCAGCCAATCAAATTTGTGAATTCGGTATTTCCCAGTCTTTGTGAGACACAGTCATATAATAATGTAAGATACTGATTGATTATTTTACAGTACATATGGCTGCCCTCTTCTAAGAATTAGTTTTTTCTCTTGCTCTACCCTGTGGTCAAGTGTTTTTGCTAATTAATCTTTATTGTTAGGCTCAGATTTGCTTGATTTAAAGTACAGTGGTTCTAGTTGTATAATTTTTTTCTTGCTTTGCACTACTGTGATCTGAAAATATTTTCTAGTTAGGAGTAAAGCTTTTAACTAAGGAATTCGTACTGTAACGCATTGATTGATTATTTTACAGTGCTTGTAGGTGCACAACTTGTAATGATTAACTTTTTTCCCTTGCTCTTCACTGTCGTGAAGAAGATGTATAAATTTGGAATGGAACTTTTTGTTGTAAAATCCTCAATGTTTGGTATTGTTTGATCATCTACCGTTCATGAAGATGCAGTACATGTAATGATTACTTTCTTCCCTTGCTCTACACTACTGTGAGCAAGGGATATGCCAGTTAGGAGTGAAGTCATTTTTGCTGATTAATTTCAACTCAAAGTGATCAATTTACAGTACATGCGCAGTAGATGCAGTGCTTCTAGATGTTAAATCTGCACTACTGTGATGAAGGTATATGCCAGTTTGATAATTACTAATTTGGATCCCATTCTGCCAAGACTCATACATCAACAAATGATACACACTGGTTTATAAGAGAATACAGAAGAACACTACTAAATACATGAACGATATTTTGAAAACAAACTCAGATATTCATAATAGGAACACAAGATTTAGCAATTTAAATCTAAGGTGCCTGATATTATAAGAATATTACTGAGGATGGCTGTAATTCATTTTACTATGCATTCAATTAGGGGACGGAATTCCTTACCTAAAAAATACACCTGTAGAATCTAAAGATGTTCATAGTTTCAAAGCATCACTAAAAAAGGACATCCTAAGTAAACAGAAAGTTGATTTAATGTTTTCCAAATGATTTGATTATAGATATCTAATATGTTTGAACATACTTGGTATTTGCTGTTCATATGACTTTTATGTCTTGGCATCCTTCATCTATAGTGGCTTATAGATTATATAAAGATTGAATGATAATTCTTAAATTTTCTTATTCAACTATTGTGGACATACCTTTTTTCATTTGACATTTTCTACATTTTTAAATCGACCTATTAATTTTATATATTTGGATTTCTGTTTATTATATAATTATATATATTTTTGTTTTGTTTTATTTGAGGACTACTGTGTCATCAGTTAATTAGTACTGTCATGTGTCACCCTCATTAGATAAAGTTACTTACAAGTAAGGAGCAAAGATTTTAGCACAGGAATTCTTAGTGTAAGGCATTGGTTGATTATTTTACATTACATGGGGGTGCAGTGCATGTAATGATAATTTTCCCTTGCTCTACACTACTGTGATGAAGGTATATACCAATTAGGAAAAGACCTTTCACTCAGGATTTATAATCCATACTTTTAGGTATTGATGGATCATTCTACAAGACATGTATGCACAGAGCTTGTTATAGTTGGTTTGATCACTCGCTCAAAACTACTGTAATGCAGGTATATAAGGCAGTAAGGAGTAAAGCTGTTAGCTGAGCAATCTCTACTGTTATGTATTGATTCATCATATGACGGTACACGTAGGTGCACCGCTTCTAAAATTCTCTTTCCTTTGGGAGTTGAGAGGTAACAAATTCAAATTCCATCTTGATTCTTTTTTCTTGGACTAAGCTGTTTGTCTTATAAAACGCAGTTAACTATACTATTTTGATAGTTTAGAATTTCATACTAATTATCGGTCGTTTGACTACGAACCTCGCTTCGTTCGATCCCTCCTCACTCAGCCACGAATTCCCGAGTATTATTTAAACATATTATTTTCAAAAGCGTTGCAAATTCAAAATTTTATATCGAATGGGATATATATCTTTATTTCTCCTAAAAAAGGAGACACTTTTTGATAACAACAAGTTTTATCACCAAGAATAAGATTTAAACTTAGTTCATAACGTAATCTAGTAATACAGGATAAGTAACATTTACTCAGAATAACTAAAATGCTAATCGAGCTGAGTAAAACTAAGTAATGTTTAAGTATAAGAGGTAGGTTGGCACTAAAGCCAGAGCAAAGGAGTTAATAGTTAAAAAAAATAGAAAAAAATAAAGAATAAATAAATAAATAAGAGAATAAATGAGTAAATATGTACCAGATGACTCATAAACAGCAAGAGTGTAAGATGTTAAACTTGACTTTGTTTTTAAACGTTTTAAGGGGGAGGTGTTTAATGCTTTCATCAAGGTGATTCCAAACCTTTACAGCTGCAAAGCGAAAGTTGAATTTACCATAGTTTGTTTACATGGTATTAATGTAATAGGTTGATTTAGAAGCGAGCCTGGTATTGTATGAATGCATGGATGCTACTGTTTGAAAAGCATTTTCAAAGGAAGATGGAAGAAGGTTATGGTGATAGTGATACATAAGGAGTGCATCGTGGAGGGTAACAAGATCAGTAAACTTTTAAAAGTATCTCTAATTCCTTAAAGAGAGGCTCAGAGTGTTCATCTGGTACCGAGAAAGTTATAGTACGTATTGCTCTCTTTTGAAGAATTATCAAAGGTCTGAGGGTAGAACTATAAGTATTGCCCCAAGTTGATAAACCGTAGGTGAGGAAGGGGTAAATAAGTGAATAATATAATTGGAGTAATATGTTTCTGTTTACATAAGATCTAATTTTAGATAATACTCCAATACCTATTGAAATCTTCTTGCTCAATTCGTGTAGAAATGGTTTCAAGTTCAAATTAGAATAAAAAATGAGTCCTAAGTATTTAACTTGACTATCAGATTTAACAGACATATTGGAGATACTAAGGTTCAACTTATGAGCTATTCTTCGTTGTGGAGAATGGAATACTACAAAGCTAGTTTTTTCAATATTCAAAGATAATTTGTTAGCAAATAACCACTGGCTCACCTTATCGAGTTCTACATTTAACTCGAGAAAAGTTCGACTTCTACATTTAACTTGACGAGAAAAGTATCTATAAGTTCTTAAATATATGCAATTTTTCTTGTTAAGAAAATTCACCTGCAGATTTTTTGAATAGGGCCACTTATGACAGTGTCCGTGGAAACACTCTTCAGGCAAAATACGTACCAAGTAAGAACCAATCACAACGCTCGGATCTACATCAAGACTGCACAACCACACAGGAAAGTTAGTTGACTTGCAAAATGATAAAGATGAAGTGATGATATAAATCGACAATAAATGCTAGCCACTCGACTGCACACTGCTCCACGAAATGACAAAATTTCTCCAACTGAAATTTGAAGTCAACGAAATTTGCATTACATGTAATATGCACCCCCTACATGCTGCATGAAATATAAACAAATACAGAGATGCCTCAAAACCCTCTCAGGAAAAGAGACCATAATTACGACAGCTTTAAAAAGTTACATTTATAACGATAACTGAAAGCCCTATGGTTAAAGCAGGTATTACCAGAGTAAATCGTAAGATAAATTTATCTCTGTATGGTGAGAACCGAAGACAAGTTAGAACTGTTCGAAAACAATAGGTTTGGCGTCAACTCGCAGAGACAAAATAAATAGATAAACCTGCGTAAATTACCAGAAAAAATTCAGAGCGTTAACCAGAGATCATATTTATGATCTTTCTTGGTTCTTATGATCGAATCACCACTGATAGTCAATTTCCACGGCTTAAAATAATATCGCCTATTGTTCAAATCATCTATGTGTAGCGTACATTTAAAAAAATGGGAATGAATGTTTGTAATTAAGCCATGAAATCAACGGCGTACGCTCTTGGGTGTCCATCTAAGACATAGTTGTGACTCGGGAATCAACAAAAATCCCTTTGCTTAAGTGCAAATCACATCGAACGAGTAATGCTTGGCGCTTTCGCTTATACTAAAAATACTGCACGTAACTTTCAGTCTTCAAAAAACATGAACAAAAGTCGAAATTGGAAATATCAGACAGGATCTTTTGAGATCCTTACAATTGAAGCACGGTTAGGTGGTGCATCGATATAATTCTGCCTCGTAAAGAAGATTTTATTCTCTCGCTTTAAAATTCAGAATAACTTTACCGGGCAGTTTCAGTTATGTTTTGCTAAAGACGTCTTAATGTATTTTGTTTGCGTTTGGTCATGCGTCAATTATCACCGCTTTAGCTACAGACTTTTCTAAAGATGCTGATCTGGATATCTTAGTCGAATTAAAACTTGAAAATTATTCGTCATTTTAACCCGGTCAGAAAGGAATCGATCGAGTACATGGATTATCGAGGAGTAATACGAATGATGGGAAACCAAGTCAAACGGGTAAATGCATGATTCCATGCTCACAGCATCCACCATTGTTTAAGTCATTCATGTGTTTTAATTTAAGAAAATTGGATTGAGAGGTTCTAAACAACGGTTTTCCCTCTTGGATGCTTATCTATGATATATTTCTTACTCAGAAATTGATGAACCCCCTTTGTCTCGGTACGAATTACATCAAAGGTGTAAGATCTGGCGCTTGCGTCTTCCGTTTTGTCTACGATAAAAATATATCCCTTTCTCTACTTGCCTTCACTTTCTCTTTACAAGGAAAATGTCCGTACTCAACCAAGATCGTTGGACATACTAGGAAAATAGTCTGTACGTAGTTCGCGTATCGAAGGAAATTACTCGTGAAGTTGCTCACTTCTCAGAAAGCTTCGTTTCAGACTTGCAAGTGTATATGTGAATAATTTATCAGATTAGCGTTATCATGTATACCTTAGGTCATTCCAAAATTGATTCATGGCGGCTTCAAGTTACATTCTCCAAAGCATTAAAGCTTTATCGATGGATAAATATATGTTCATTTCCAATTTATTGCGTATCACAATTATTCTTTTGCATTTAGGGAATGAAGTTCCGTTCATAGATAACGTGATGGAGTTTAGCCGGAGGTAACGCTTTATAGTTTTACATAAGTTTTTCGCAATAGCATGACAACGAGGCCAGAAAAAGCTTTTAATTTGAGCGCTATATTCTTGCATATACCATAAATCCTTGTTGGCCTCGTCGGGATATTTTTGCCTAGTTATGAATGCTGAACGGTTTTTGAAACCAATCAGGGAGGCTGCAGTATTACTTTTAAGAAGTGTCAATGCACTTCATGAAGGAACCTTGAGATTTAGTGTTTCAGGACTGCGTTAAAAATGATAAAAGCGGGACAGAGAAAATTTGAAAACCTCTCATAAACCATAAAAAAAAAAAAAAAATAGTTTTTAAAAGGTCCAAAAGACCGGAAGTGTTTCGAGTGAACAGATGTCGAAACATAATTAAAATGTGACGTCACACAGGAATCCTCTTGTCGAGAGGGATCGAATTTATGACTGAGGTAGTAAACAAATAGAAAGACGACCTACCTGACAAATTGCGATATATTTTTATGGAACGCCATAACTGTCTTATGATATTTTGTTTTCTTATCCGTGGTGCTTTTCTTATCATCTTCGGTGCATGTATCATGATATTCAGTGCTCTGGTTGCTATAATCGGTGCCAGTCACCTTATACTCTCCTCTTTATCCAAGGTACTCGGTACTTTCCACATCATACCCGGTGTGAAAGCCATTATACTCACTGCTAACCGCTTTATACTCGGTGCTTGGATCAGTTTTAGCGGTGCAGCTTTCTTTATATTCGGTGGCTAGTTTGTTATGCTCTGTGCTTTTTCCATTTTAAATGGAAAAAGCTTTTATTTTAAAGCTTTTATTTTACCCCAAGTTACATATTTTCATATAGCATGGCACCATTGTCGCTCGTCAGACGAGAGAAAGCTTGAAAGGCTGCAGGAGCGTGCAATGAGGGCTATTTACTGTGACAGGGCTAGCACTTATGAAGCACTTCTATATAAAGCAAGACTTCCAACGTTATGAAATTGCAGACTCCAGGACATGGCTATATTTATGTATAAAGTTAAAACTAATTTAGTCCCACCATATATTTCTGAACTTTTTAGTTGCGGCATAAGTAGGTACAATCTTAGGAATGCAGACGATTTCTCCTTACCAAGATACAACACGGTTACAT